TGTTAATACTTCAATACCATCTTCTTCAACATTTTACTTCCTATCCTTAAGCTACTCCTTCTTTCTTCAACCAGATAAGATTCAAGTTTTTCTTTGTAATTTCTTTTCTGATTCAGCTAATTTAATACTTTTCAGCCTATGTTGTGAACTTTGGCTTCATTCTGCTCTCTTTCTGGATTAAGCTTTTCTGTTTGCTGCTAATTCCCCCCCCCCCTTAAAAAATTATTTCAAAATTTTTCTAGAGACATTATATTCAGTCCCTTCTAGGGCTCAGATTTAAGTTTTTTTTTTTATATATATCATGTATGGTTTGGCTGTGCAGCGTTTAAGATGAGTTTGTTTCTGCCATTTTACTGCCAAATGATTCTACCCTACAAAATCTTCAGATGATTCAATTGTTTTCTGCAGTTTGAAGTTTCTGATGACCTCCTATCACATTTTCTTATGTTCTTCAGGTAATTTCAGCTTTTTTCATTCAGCAGAAAAAGCATTCTCCCTTGCTGTTTTTGTGAAACAGCTTTTTCTAGTTATCATAATGTTAGCCTATAACTCAGGTGTTACAGAAGCTAAAAACGGGTTTGGATCATCATCTGGAACAGCAGCAATCTCAAAGCCTCATTCCCACTGAAAATATCGAGTTAAAGTGTGTTTTTCAAACATGGGTCGGCCCGCTGACAATCGGCGTTTGGCTCCCTTCCCAAAAGAAGCTGGTCTAAGCCCTCGCTGGCAGCTGCTTGGCGTCTGTCCCGCTGTCGCTGTGCGTCCGGTGATGCCGTCATGCTGTGTTGGCATTGATGGTGACACCAGTACAACAGAAATCAAGAAAGTAAACAACTGAGAGCAACATGGAGGGAATCCAGGGCGTAGTCAGGGTGCGTTATTGTTTATCTCTATTATCTGTCTGAATCCCATCACCAGAGCTGCTCCATGTTTAGCCAATGGAAACAGAGTTGTTTCTGCTTGTTAGATCAGAAGTGTCTGGTGAGGTGTGTTGGCGTCTGTACGTTGCGTTCAAGGTTGCACGTAAATTAGCGGATCAACCTGGCTCTGGTGTTCCTACAGCATGCTGAGCAGAGCAGAGATTTTAACACAGGTTGCTGGCTGAGTCGTTTGACCCGGGTAGACACGCGTCAATGAGATGTCCATTGTTGTTCCCTGGTTTTTCGGCCTGTTGGAAAGCGGCATAAGACTTAAGCTCCACATCAGCCTGTTGTTTTTTAAACTTAGTTTTATTTTTTTCAGTTTTAATCATTTCTATGGAGCGCTAGGAGCTGCATCGATCTGTGTGTGGTTCATATGCTGGCTAATCTTCTCTCCCCCCAGGTGGACGCTATAGCTACAGCTGTTGGTAGCAGAACATGCTAGTGCTTTACTGAATAACCAAGCGACTCTTTCAGTGAGGGAACAATATTAAAAAGCACAGCAGACACCATGGAGTCCTCCAACTTCTCCCGATCTTAACTGACCTGCTTCACCCCTTTGAAAGCA